AGCGGTGTGTGATCAATGACAGGACTGTAGGAAGGTGTCTAGATGTATACTCTTTGTGATGCATTTCACACAGAAGACTCAAAAGTAGGTATTTAACATTTCTACCCCCTTAAACATCTTCTTAGCTTTTTCATAAAGTTTTAAACAGATGTAAAAACCTGTCCTCATTACTGTTTGTTGATAGTTTCTATTTGAATCCACTAAAATTTTACAAACCTTCCACTGTTATAATGCATTTGAATAATATTAAATTTCAGTCAATCTTTCTGATAGCTGTCAAACCTCAAAAGCATCCCCCAGCTTCACAGTAAACTTATTCATCCTCACTTGTTTACATATAGCCTCCTCATACACCAATACTCTCAATTACCATTTTACTTGTCCCCACATCAAACATTTTCCAGGAGATAGTCTTCAATTTACTACTGCTCCTGAATGCCTTCCGTAAAGTGGAATGGAAATCTAGCAGAATAAAAGCAGGTACCACCACCAAGAATGTCTTCCTACCAAAATTTCCAAAAGAATCCGTGACACCCAGTTATTTAAATTCTTTTAACCTTCAAAAGCTACATCTAAAATTTGACTTGGGCTTTGTTTCTACCAGATGCTTTTGAGGTCAGACAAAAAACGTCAAGTATTTTTCATCCCTTTCTTTCTGCTCTACAATCTCAATTGTTTGTGTCATAACATATTGCTGAGTAAGATTATACTGTTTGTACAAAGCTTAAATTGAACTCAGACTTCATCAACAGAAGCTAGTAGCAGTGTTCATAATAAAAGCGCTTGAGATAAAACACAGAAGATAAAGAATCTGTCCTTCAAATGATAAGCAATGATAAAAATGTTTTAAAACAAGAGTGAATCTCAATTACATGAATGCAAAATATCAAATGAAATAAAAGCACTTAGAAGAACTTTTTATGAAAGATATGCTCAAAAACCAGCCAACAAAGTGAAAAAAACCAGTTAACTATTTGTAAGGCTGAGATCATGTTAGTTTCCTAGTAACTGCTTCTAACTCTTCAAATCCAACAGAACATGTTTTAGATTCTGGAAACAATATTGTAAAAAAGTTAACGTATCTAAATGAGAAAAAACACCCAAATCTTTCTACTCACTTGCCACTACCAAGGTTCTCTTGACAATGGCAGCAGGAAGAACAGAAAAGAAAAAACTACTGTACTCTGTTCATTGATGGCAGCCCAACAAAGAACAAAAGCAACATGCCTGTAGGGCAGACTGCAATTTAAGTTATGTTTATCTGTAAATACTGTGCTCTGGAGATACGAGGACAAGCTATCCATGAAAATATTTACATGTAAGAATAACACTGACAGAATACATACATCTATGTTCATGTAACAATGCTTTGAAACAAATTTTAAAGTTTTACAGTTTTCTGCTATGGAATTTTTTTTCCTACTTTTAAGCAGGATAACCTGTACCACTGGCTGAAATGAACAAAATTAAGCAATGCACATACAGAAATTCACCATTATTATGTCACATTCTACAATGCACAGCACTTCAAAAAATACACTATCTGGAGTATGTTCACCTAAACCACCTAAAGGCTGATTTTAAAAATGTCATTTTTAAAACCATTTTTTCTTTAAAGCAAAATAACATAGTACTTTAAATGCTCATGATGTCATAACACAAGAAAATAGTTAAGCTATAGTGAATAATGTGACTTAAATTCAGAACTTACTTTGGAGTTGAAGGACCTCTTGGCCATGTTCCATCCTCATTCTTCTGTTCTATCACCAGTACCTATGACAAAAAGTGTAGTAGAAAAGCTGAGATATCAGCAGACTCCTTTCTGTTGCAATCTTTTTAATAGATTTGCTGACATATGAGTGAGACAGAAACTACTGATGTTTAAGTTACTGTTCCCTGAGGTTCAAGAATATTCCATTCGATTACACCTCACCTTCCCTCTTTTCTATTCACTTTTTTCTCCCCACATCTTACTTTGTGCATGGCACTTAATATTTCTATGCCTCAGTAATCCATGGCTAAAACGTGAAGACCTCACCTCTTTGAGAGGTAACAAGACGACCTGCAATTCTAAACAGCATCTATGATTCTATAGAAATCACATGCCTACACACAACAGCCCTAAAACATGCCTACAGACAACAGTCAAGAAAGGGATATTCCTGGAGGAATTTTGCCTCACGCACAACACAGACTGGTAGGGAAAACAACAGAAGCCAAACTTTTTTTTGCCTTGATAGCCTTAAAATCATACCTGCCTAGTTACTCCTGTACTTTTTTGCGAAAGCATTCGTTTAGTATTAATTTTCCAATGGGACAGCTGGCTAATGAAATTAATTTCATTCGGGTTGCTACTGGTACAAAAGGGAGCACAGAACACTCAGTCCTCAATACAGGCATCAGGTGCCATTTCAAATGCCTTTGAGTATTTGAGATCTGCTCTATGCTGGCAGATACAACTCAGGACCTACAAAAAGCTCACGTCTTTCTGGATTGACAGCTGGGACAGGGAGATCATTTGACATGGCAACTAGACTTCAATATTTAAACCGAATCTAACTCTTAACTTCCGATGCAACTAATTCTGCATAATTGTTTGCTGATGTTCCAGGATGCTAATTAGCTGCTATGCTATGCTTGGATATGCTTACACAGTGACATACATTCACACACATACTTAGGCTCAAAACCTTACACAGAAGTCATGCTGCTACTTAAAGATGTCGTTGCATTTTCAGACTGAATCCACTAAGACAGGACACTGAAAACTAGCTTTCTATCATGACCAGCTTTCTATCTGGAGTAGAGTAGCCTGCCATCTTTGGTCAAGAACGCGCTAAGACAGACGCTGTCATATTTCCTTCCCTTTGCTCTCAGACTACTACATTAAAGGAAGATCTAGACTTAAAAGTTCAATGGAGCCCCTAAAGGCTCACTTCAGAAGCAAAATGAAAAATTCAAGACATTAATTTACTCAAATTTACTCAGTCACATACATAGTTTAGAATTACACAGTAAAAATAACTTTTAGGTTTGACTGTAATAGTCAGAGTACCTATTATTAGATTAGGAGACTCAGCAAGAAAAACAACCCTGTATGACAGCAAGTGCAACTGATCAAACACACAGTTTACCACAACATTTAGCATTTTCAGAAACCATGCTTAAAGTCGGTTCTGAACAGTATTTGTTTTGCTGAAAGTACACACATCACCTAGAGATCTTTTAATGGCTATATTAGATCATGCTTGCTTTATAGTTAATGTTTCACTGAGACAGAGGCAATTTGCAAGTTACATCTCTGGTGCAAATCTTTTATGGGAGATGTGGGCTCTTCCAGCAGGACCCCTGTATTGGTAAAATTACCAGTATCACCCAAGGGTTTAAGTGCATGCAACATGAAGCAAAAGGGTACAATAGTTCAAGCTGTTATTTTGGTGCACTATTACTTACCTTCCATAACATAGGTAATGAAAACAGAAAGCACAGTGTAAATACTGCTGGTAAGCAGGTTAGAATGAAGTATTTTGATGTAAAATGAAATAATTTAATATAATCTTGCCTACAATTATTGCCATGAAATTTCATCTACTCATGTTTATAGCATGACAGCACGAACTACAGCTACTGAAAAAAGACTGAACTATTTGAAGACTAAAGAATCAATGTAACAATCTGAAAAGTTCTTCTAACAATAAAACTGTTCTATCAAATTATTTATTATTATTATTATCATCATCAAATAATCTTGTAAGAAATCCTCCTATAAAAGGATTTTAAAATGATGATACACAGTCTCATGCTGAAGCAGGTTTTTCAGGCTCTTTTGCCTTTACAGCTCTTATCTCAATCTAAAACACTTCCATTTTTTCTTCATTTCTTTCTGAAATCTGGACAGTGGAATTTGAGTAGAAGACATTATACTTTTAGAGTACCTAAAAAGTTCTTTGAACTTTTGGTTTCATTATGGGAAGATATATCTCAGATTCTAGGAATTTTTTTTTTGTTTCAAGTTTTACCAAATTCAAATCAGCAATGCTACATTGATTTACTATTAATTCACCAGGTGAGTAAAACTCATTTTTAATCCTGAAAATGCACTCAAAGTCTACTTTTATTTTGATGAATTTGTTTACAAAATCCTCTATTCCTGACTGAATGTAACAGGAAGCAATTTTCACTTAAAAAGAAGCAAAATTCACTGTGTACAGCTGTATTTTAATAAGTAAGAAAATAAACATATAATAAAATGAAATAATATTACAATGTACCTGTCCTTGGTATAAACCAGCATCCTGTATGGTACTGTCTGGTTTATTCAAAGGTTCAAAAGTACTACTCATGTATTTGTTCCACAGTCTGGTCTCTTTTTCACCTGGAATATTGAAGATTTTCCTTATCTCTTTTTCAATAGTATCTGTTTTGAAAAGGAGAGAACACAAGCTTAGCATTTCAGTACACGAACAGTATAAGGCTGAATAATGCATCAGAATCACCTATTCTTTTCTTAAATTCAACGTATGAATGAAACTACAGAAATAGCCATGCAACCACATCATGTTGTAGGACACGCAGGAAGTTGATAGTTTGCTTGCCTTTAAAATGGGAACAGTCAGACGACTATTTTATTCCCTCCTGAATCTCTCAGCAAAGCAGACCAAATAAAGACAAGTTAATAAATAACAGATGGCAGCTGCCTAGGTACCCATCTACTAATTTCTCAGTGTGGTAACACAGGAGGGTGGGTGGGTTGGAAATGATTAGAAGCAAGACTGGCAGCAAAACCTGGTGCAGAGGGTGCAAGTTATTCTGTTCCTCTCACTAAATCAAACCCTTTTTGGTTTTCATTCTTCTACTACCTGTATTCCAGTGCAATTGTCACTAAGCACAATACATATGTATAAAGTTTAATCTTCATGCTCACAGAAATTAAAGACTAGTCCATAAAACTAAAGTGCTTACATTTATTTTAAAAGGATGATGAAAGATTACAAGTCCCTGAAAGCTTTAACATGAAAGTCTACCAGCTCCTACACTACCTGACAAAAACTTAATTTTAAGGTAGTATAAATATTGTATAACAACTGAAATTTAAGAAGTTCATAATTAGCTCCATTCTCCTTATGCAAATGCAGAGTTTATTACAGAGTTCTTTAATTTGAACTAATATGTACAGTGCTATACCAAAGCAACATCACTTAGATGGTTTTCTTAATTGGTACACTCATAAAGCCCCACAGCAGCCAAGTCTCATAACAGCTAACACTGTTAGAAAACCAAACAGGAGTCAAGAAATGTACAGTTTATTCCTGATGATCACTGAAAACACAATTATAAAAATGGGCACTGCAAGCTCATTAAGAGACATTCCCCCGAAGTCTCAAGATAAAAGACCCATGCCAGCTCCTCCAGCATTTCCCTTGCTCCCTTTTACTTAAGAGTATTCTTTTCTCTTCCACTATGTTAAATATGGAAGTCAAAATAAAATCTGAAGCTTAAAAGTACCTTGTAAAAATCCAGACATTGGCTTGTGAAATGCATGACAATTGGCCAATATAGTGTTGTAGGCAACTTAATACAATTTCCTGCTATACTATTTAAAACACATTTTTAGTATGAAAGCAAGTGTTAGACTGGATCATCTGTTTCTATTATAGAGATGGTATGTAGGCAAGGTAGGTGCTATAAACAAGGCAACAGGCTGTTACTTGATTTGTTCACTTAAAAAAAAAAAATCACATACTGAATCAATTTTTAACCAATGATTTCAAATAGCTGAATTTGAGTGTAAGAACGAATCTAGTCAGCAATAATCTTTAAAAAAAAATAATCCAGATTTATCAATGGCTTTCAGTAAAAGAATTTACAAATAGTATTTGTTCATTATCTTACTAATGCCATGGCAACTCATTATTTGAGCACTGCAGCTTGTACTTTTTGCAAGCACTAAATTAACATTTATTATGTTGATTTTTAACATATTCCAGCTTCAGTAACAGACAGGAAGCATCAACCCTATCAGATAACTACACATCATGCCCCAGACTCTGGGAAAACCATGTCTCACTTGACTATTATGCTAAATTTGAGACTGTGAAACTAAGGTTCTTTTACATAATTCCATGAGTGTAACCAATGCACATTTGGTAATTCATCCCTCTTCCAGCCAGCAAGTACCAGTGAAGTGCTGGCTTTTCTACAGTGAAAGTGCCCATGCAGTATAAATGAAAACATTACATTCAAACAGGTATGGAGAGAGGGGTATTGCATATGGGATTCTCCTCTAGTAGTGCTATGCACATCCCATGTATGAGATATGTCTAAAAGAGACAGGAAGAACTGCCCTTTAAAGACACCTCTCAATCCGTCAGGTATATAGCCACAATTTGAGATAATTCACTCTGAGAGTTAAAGGTTACTGATACATCCTATATCGTTAAAAGTCAGATACCTTCTCCAAAAAAAAACCTGCATAATTTAAGTACTCAATTTTGGAAGACTACATGAGAAGAATTTTGATGAGATGTTGGAGAATTTCAGCATATCCTAACAAGAGTATACTCTGGCTCCAAGTGGCTAGTGCTGGCACAAATACTGGCTAGTGGAAATAGCAGCAAAATGTTAATCTGTGTTATGAAACAGCAATTCCAGCTTCCTAAAGAAGGGAAAGGCTGGTAACAGATCCCAGAATATATTGTCCTGAAGGGTGGCAAGCTTTACATTCTTGAATTCTGGAGCAAATTGAAGGGAAAGAAGAATCAAATGCTAGTATATTTGTCAAGATAATATACTAGCAGAAGTCCAAAACTCCATTAGATGGAGACCCACTGGTATAATCTTCTACAAAGTTAATCAGCTCAGTTTTGGAACTGTTTTATGGCATTGCATTCACAACCTGACTCTATTCATCCATAACAGAGGCTACAGACAGTTTTTCTGTCATTTTGCGGTTTATAAAACTCTTGAATAGAGGTAGAAAAGGCCTACACATTAGCTGATGGCTTAGTTTTATCATACTTTCACATGATTAAGATACCTGAATGGATCATTGACTCATTTTCACTCAGAAACCCTGATGCTCTCTAGGATCAGCAACAATAACTACGCTGAAATGTTGCCTAAACTACACCTCCTGTCTAGCTCATTTTCCTTTTAGAATTAACATCCCACCCTCCTCCCCCAAAGAATCAATCAGTCTCAAAAATGCACTACCTCCAACATGAACATCCTCAATTATAGAAGATTCCCAAGACAGTCCAAAGAACACAACAGATGTGGCCAGTACCACCCCAAGAAAATGATTGTCATTATTAGGTCTGCCCTTTCTGATAAATTTTTCGTACCTTGTACTAACTTATTGACATAGAGCTTAGCTTAGTATCTATTTGAGTGGAAAAACAAAGGTATTCAAGGAATGACACACACTCAAAGACTGGTGGGTGAATATTACATTGTGCTTGAAGTATTTAAGGTGCTCCAAAACTTTCACTGTTTATGTGAGTTAAGGAAGATCTTGTACTGATCTTTTGAGCACAGTAAACAATGTAATCAATGATGGTGGGTTGAAAAATTAAAACCTCTTGAAAAGTCCACAGGTACTTCATGTCTGCTTACTTCAGTGGGGCTAATATTATTTTGTACTAGAAGTCTTCTGCAGCCATACTGAAAATGCATCCCGTACTGACATATATGAGGAGGAAACAAGATTCTGTAAGAGTCCTTTTGCATATTATTTATTGATATAATGAGCATCTCTGCTATATATCTGATGAATTCCAGAACTACCTTAAATATACTTAAAGATGGCAGAGGGAACCAAACCCCACCATCTTATTAATGGATGATACAGGGATCAGTTACTTTTTCACTCTTAAAAGTGGCTCTAATTTTTCGAGCTGTTCTTCTAGGATATAAACTCTGTTCTGACTAGGAAGGCCCTGCTTGGTGCTCTGCATAAGAAGCTTCAGAAAGGGCACGTTTAAGGCTTCCCAGAGCATGTCATCGACATCTCAGCAAAGGCCACTGTCTGGAAAGGGGTTGCCAGTGAGTCTAACTATGTCTCATTACCCTTTATGACAATTTTCTAGTAATTGCAATTCTGTCTGCTAAGAAAAGCTGAATACATCTTCACGTAACAGTTGTTCTAAAATGCCTTGCTTCTGATTAGAGAAAGAAAATACCAGCAATTCATCTACTACCTATAATTCAACTGATACAACTAAATTCGGTATAGCTGCAAATAGCTTGTATTTGGTCCTCAGGGATGAACAATGTTAAATTGTTTTTTCTGTGTTTCTGGGTTTGCTTAGAGAATAATGAAGCACATCTTCCCAAGTTAAACCAGATCTCAAAAAGGATAATTAACATGCAAGACAGAAGCCTTGTTTCAAGGACAAATTTCCTAATTTTAAACTTTTTAATCTAATGCAAGCAGATGATTACTTGTTTAACTTCAAGATTAAAATTTAACCAAGTAAAATGATTCTGCTTTTAATGCATGCAATCTGCAAGGAATTAAAGAGTAGCAAGTGTCAGTCACTACTCATAATGTGAAGAAAAGCAAAACCTGAAAAATCTACATTGTTGTCAAAGAATGTAAGCAGAGACATGGCTGGGCATAAAGTGCCAAGGGCATGAAGTACAAGTCTAACTGCACGAATACAGCTGACTGAAAGACTCTTATCTCAGATACTCATGCACAAATACACCCAAATTTGAGTTTATGTGATCAGCAATACCTTTGCACATGTTCTGATCAGAGATAACTATGTTATCAAAATATGGTTTCAAACAATGACACGATGTTAAAAAAACAGGTAAAATAACTACAAATACACAAAATTTAGAGGATTAAAACCAGACTCAGTTAGAAGATTGTGCCTGGTCTGCCACTTCACAACACAAATACTGCCTTTGTAGGTCACCTTTAGCCATTAATTTATAAATTCAATTCATTCTTGTGTTTTGTAATGTACCCTTCTCTTTACATATATGACTAAAAAGTGTTGACTAATGAAAGACATGAATAGAAAGACATAAAAAAAAAAATCCCTACCTTACACACCAAAAGCCAAGAAAAAGTACTATGGAATCCAATAAAGATAACAAAAATCTTCACACTGTTCACTTCCCAAAAAGCAAAAACCTCTAGGATTAACACAGAAGTCTGGATAATAAACCACACACTTATTTTTAAAACCATATTAAAAATCCTAAATATTCCAAATTGTTTTACAATTTTTGACCCAAACCAAAACCCAAATTAGTACCATACTTTTTAATGGTTAAAATACCCATCTATCTTTTTACCTAGAGATTTATTTATTTCACAACTTGCTACTAAGTATTATTTAAATAAGAAACAATTGTATATTTTTGAAAATAGTTGTACATACCTATTGTATCAGCTTTACTAAATCTTCGTGTGACAACATTGTTCATATCTCCATTTTCACAAAGCTTTAATTCTGTTAGATATACTTCTACTTTGCAGTGCTTTACAAACATACCCTGTTCAACAACCTGAAAAACAGATTTGGATCAGGTATCAGTCTAAATATATTTTCATATACACACTTCAAAATATTTTTGAGAACTTTTCAAAAAACTGAATTCAAGGAATGTAAGATACTTAATAAATAACAAAAATTACAACTAAAATTCCCCAATAACTTTTTAGAAATACAATAAACTAAAAAGAATTTTTTTTCCATAATGATGATGTCTCATCTATTTATAAGAACAACTTTCAAAGTGTTCAGTTCAGTGGATATCACAAATATGCATACTTAACTGAAAGATACTTGATCAAGAGATAAAAAACCAGCAGAAGTTGTTTTTTTCAAATCAATTTGGTTTATGCTACTTCCTCAAAACATGAAGAACCAGTTTTCACAGTTAACAAATACTTATCAAAACCAGAATACGCACTAATAAAATTTGAATATTAGATTTTTAAACCAAACCTAAAAGTCTTCCACTTACATTCCAATAATAAGTAAATTATTTCAAAATTTCACCTATGCATTACAGTTGTTTATTGTATGTTCATTTTTCTAACACTTTACAAAATAGTTAAGTACACACGATTTTTTTTTATAAAAGTAAAATGTAGAATAAATATTCAGGGTCACCTCTTAAATGTTTTTCCCTTTGATCTTCCAAAGTGTAACTGCAGCACTTAGTCATGTAGACTGTACCAAAAATAACCACTGGCCTGATATGCGATACACTGACAAATACGGTAAATAAAAAAGCCACCAGCTAATTGCTAGGAGAGCTCTGCTGTCTGCTGTACAAATAGAACTGGTATGAATGTGCCACAGGGAAAAAAAAAATTAGTGAATGATTTCATTGCTGTTCAGTAGTTTCCCTTAGCTCTAATGACTACTAACCATGACATTTAAGTAAAACTTTGTTTTAATTTGAGCAGCTGTGTAGGGTTTTCAACTACTAGAGAGAAAACAGAACAGTGGAATACCACTCTAGTGGTACCATTGCCACATCCTATTACACAAAGTCACAATGTTATTTGGATCAAGTACAACGTTGTATCAATTTAAAATTGGGATCCACATTTCAAAAAAAGTTCATGTAACAAAGGAGAGAAAAAGTATAATCCATGTCTATGAAAAAACATTACAGCAGACAGGAGAAAGAATAATGAACAGGTGACAAAAGCATCAGAAAGAAAAATTCCTAACTGGAATATGCACCTCTGAGGATAACTACTCTTCATATATTGACAGGAAAAAAAAAAAAAAAAAAGGTTAGGTCACTTTATCTGGCCACTCATTACATTTCATGTATTTTTCCAGTTTGTTCCCTCCAAGTAGAAGTCAAGGTACTCTAATTTCCCTTTGCTCTTCCTTCCATTTTCACCCCAAAGTGAGAAAGTCACATAACTTTTAATTTACCCTTATGATGGAAGAGCATTCAGTTTGCTGTAATCCATCCTCAGAAAAAAAGAGAAAGTTAATAACAGATTTATCTTTAAAGGAGAATCATTTTAATGGATTTCTGAACTAAAGAGAGAGACATTGCAGAGATGTCTCTTTAAAAAACACCCACCGAACAAACAAACAACAAAATTGCCGATCAAATGAATCTTGAAAGCAAAACATTTCTTCTGTAGCTAAATCTGGCACTTGTGTGAAAAGAATGAACTTCAAATAAAGTGGCCAGCATGCATGTAGTTAGGCCATATTTATGTTACAGGAAGGAAAAAAGGCTCTATTACACTAGAAGCCATATCAAACTAAATTCTAAGCATAATTGTCTTTCAGCAGTTTTTCAAGAATTAAAATACAGATCCCTGTAACTGAAAGAATACACCACAATGGTGAATTTAGTAGTGGCAAACATACCAAAATGTATTTTAAAAAATTAAGAATTGAAGTCCAGCAACAATTGATCCAGTAACAATGCATCTGTAATCACTAACTTGAAAATCTTACAAAATAATACAAACCAAAAAGAACACCTGACATAATTAACTGGTAAAATTTCACATCACCTTAATAATAAGGCTGGTATGTGCTGGAGCAAACAAAAGTTAACACCAAAGATGTTAACATTACCCAGAAAAATCTCTTGGCAGGCTGTTGAACACAGAAGACTGCTTATCAGAAAAGGAACTGTTAATTCCTTTGCCAGCATTAACATTATTAGAGCTAGGTTTCTTGCTAATAGAGTAAATACAGTTTTAGGGGTTTATACTTAATTACAAAATCATTTGCATTAATAGACTTACAAGCTTCTAAAGCAAGTTCTTCTTGAAATGTTAGACTGCTTACTTCCAGAAAAAGAGAAAAGTATATCCTTTGTGTCACTATTTCTCAGTATTAAAAACTTAAGCCTCCAGAATCTGAATAAAAATTAGATACCTATAACCAACTAAAGGAGGATTTGTCTATGTGATTACCATAGGCCAGGACTTACAATCTTCTAATAAATCCCTGTGCAACTCCTCCATATTTGCAGGACGCATGCAAACTGAATCACATTCATCCCAGAGGATAATTTAAGAGTACCTTGCGTGCTATTGGCTCTTGACCTTCCATCAGTGTGTACCAGCTAACTAGCCTATTCCAGCCTTCAGTTGGCAGAAGGATGTAGTCCAGCTCATCAATGAGATGTTCCTTGAGAGACTGAGAATCACCATCTGTAGGAGAAAAGTATTTTCACTTGAATACTGTAACTCTGTTACTTGAGTTTTTAATGTAACATTTTTCATACAAACAGGAAACAAAACATTTTCTGAGTCACAGTCATGTTACCACTATTATGGTGTTCAAAGCAAAACTCTCCTGAAACTATGTAGGCAAGCCATCAAGACCATGTAGAACACACCAAGGTAGTATTCCTGCACTGAGCAACCCAAGTGACAACTTCATATCTTCATGCAATCATAAGCACCCAGCGTTATCACACACCATCACTGAATATGCAGAAGTGAGTAGTTACAGTAGATCCAAGACTAAGTTTTAAGTTTTTTACTCCATGCCAGACTGGGAAAGTAACCTGGTACGGCCCTCCTACTTAAAGGATCCTAGGTGCTCTGGAAACAAAAGTCACTACAGAATTCTTCACAGGGACAGAGATGTAGCACTTGAACAAATTACAGTTTGGCAATCCCTTTACACAAGTAGCATGATCTTAGGTTTGGTTGAATCTTCACTACAGTAGCAAGACAGCAGCTATCCTGTGTGTAAGATGTGATTACAGATCGCAGCCACTGTGAGCCTCAGACAGTTAGGGCAGCTGGCTGTCCATTTGGAAGTACACAACTACAGGCCTGCAAACATCCCTCTGTAAAGAGGGAGATCAAACAGGGAGACCCACACATTCAGCTCCAAAGAATGAACCAGGATGACAAACTTAATGAAGTATGAAAACAAAGAGACTAAGTATAAAGAATAAACACACAGTCTATTTTCATTGTCTTAAGTGAATGACCTGCAGAATTACATTACACAATTAAAACTGAGCATAAAAGTAACCTTAAATAATCTCTAATTGCTTTAAATATTGGCCCTTGGGATTTTTTTTTTTTAAAGTACAATACTTCTATGCAAAATGAATACTGTTAACTTCATTTTTCTGCAAGGACAAAAAGAAGTGCATGCTCTGCGTATATGAAAAACACTAAGGTGCTCTCCTTTGATCATATTTCTCTACTTCTCTTTCTTTTGTACAGATCAAGCAAACACAGCACAATGTGACTTCAATTAAAAAAAATTATCCTGAGCATTAAGAAAAGCAGACTTAAAAATTAAGGTCCTTTAGAAAGAAGAACTATTCCTTTTTTTCCCCCTGTGTAAGAACGTAACAAAACATGTTGCAACGTGACCTTTGCTGTAGGAGGTCAACACTACTGAGGACGTGTAAGAGACGTGCTCACTTCCTGGTGGGAAGAGCAGACAAGATTCAGTTTACCAAGCCTCTAGAAATCTCCCCACTCTACCTGCACTTCCTACACCTTCAGCTGACTTAAAGGGTTTGTGATTTTAAGTGAAAACCTATGGAGAAAAACAATGCTTTTTGCTTTCATCACCCAAACACTGAAAATATGGGCAAAGGAGGATGCATAGCTTTCATCTGCTACTATCTTACCATCAGTGACATTTCCCTCTGTCCTTCTCCAGCTAAGTACCTTGATGTATGAGCAAAACATGGGAGATACATACTGTTCTCTAGTCAGGTACTTTAAGTGTACAGTATTCGTACTACCATTAGCTGCTCAAGAGATGGCAAAAAAGATATTGTTTCCACAACACACCATCTGTGCAGTTTAGAGATGACTCCATGTGGTCAAGAAGGTACAATATGGTTTACAGGCACCTTCTCTGATAAAAATTGTAAATGACTTAAGAGGAGTTAAACAAAAAACCCCTAACAACAAGAAAAATCCCAAAATACAGCCAAGTAAATACTAGAAGTATAAAGTTATTTTAGAAAGAGGGGATAACCAAGTTCAGAAGTAACCAAAATATTTGTTGCAATTTTAGGGAGAAGAAACACGAGCAACACAGAAGGCAACAAAGGAAAGTAGAAGAAAACCTCATATTTTGGATTCTACCTTGGGATCCACAAGACATACATTTCTTGATCAAAAAGTAAAATGGAATTTCACATGAACAACTCAGTGAACATAAAGGTAAATAATAATTTACTTTTTAATAGAGATAATATACTTAATGTGACCTAATAAATAAGACTTCAATCGATTAATGCATCTGTTTAAAAGGTAGTCTCCTTCTCCCAAGTATCTAGTGATAGTTCTAACGTTAATGATGCTATGATTCCTTTTTTCCCCCCCTCAGGCTGTTTCATCCTAACAGTAAAAGCTACAATTTTTAGGAGTCAGATTTTGATTCAAAACTGTCTCTAGTGATTAAGAAAAGCCTGTATTTGAGAGCTGCATACAAGAAACGTTTCCTGACATAATTCACAACTTGCACTATCAATGCTTACTTGGCACACTCAGCACTATGAATATGGTGGTTCCCTTGTAACTGTGAGCAAAGCGTACAAAGAAACTCACAAACGCACCTTCAGGTTCACGTATCTCTTCAAACAGCTCATACTGTACTTCCACACTGATGTGATATTGCTACCAGAGTTTAGTGAGGAGACATAATTTGGATTCCATTTTGCCTTTTTAAAACCACCAACATTTCTTCTGCTATATTTTTTTTCAGAACCTTATTCCATCAAAGAAGCCCCTGGGCTCTGACAATTCAGTCCCTCCTATGCAGCACTGCTTTCTATGATGAACATCACCTATTCTATGACTACTTCCATGTGCTTGCTTTGCTGATCTGAAGTTGGCTATATATCTCTTTGTTTGAAGATGGCATTGCTGAATTCCATTACATTCAGCAACATTTTTTGCATATGTTGAGATTAACTGAAATTTCTGTTGCTTTTAACTGCTCTCACTTCATCCAAATGTTCTGGAAATAACAGGGCAGCATTTAATATAGGCACAACATACATCTTCAGTTTACTGGAATCGGTGTTTCTTGAATTTAGTAATAGTTTTCCTTATCACCACATTATGCTGCACAATATCTGAGAAAGCATGCTCATTCCAGATGATTTTATTCTTTAAATCAGATGCAAATTTTCAGACTGAACACTGAAGGAAAGCAGTATGAGAGCAACTAGTGCATACTAGGTGCTAAAGACAGGATTAAAACCCCAGGCATTTCCAGGTCAAATTTATTCTACATATGAAACCTAGCAAAGAGGATTGCTGCTTTGCAGCAGGTGAAGAAGACAGCTACCATTTGCTGAGCACTAATGCCTTTACTTTTTAAACTGCCCTCACACAGGAATAGTAGATGTCAGACTAATTGGACGCATGGTACCACTGACAATGCAAAGCCTTAGTTTTAGAACCATGAATGAACAAAAAGTGAAGTTCATAAACCCAAATGCTGTGCTTATTTTGAAAGGGGTATTGGCAGAGTCAAAATGACAGAACACAGGTTTTCAGGAGCTTTTAGCAAAATGGCTAACACAACTTTAGATTTGGACAGCTAACTCTGATACAGACTCCATATCCACATACACATTATCTGAACATTTATGTAGATTAAGTTATAATAGAGATGGACTAACAGTGCTTTGTACATCTTGAAATCACCTTTTATTTTTTAAGTGGATAAACACAGAAGAGAGAATAAGCTGATGCTGCCTCACTGAGGATAAAAAGATCTTGCCACCTCTGATTTAAAATGAACAGTATCACTTGAACACACTCATCTCACTACAACATTTACTACAAGAATGCACAAAAGATGTAGGTCCTCACATCTGAGAAAAAATGCATCACTCACCTGGAGCAAAAAGACCTTTAAGTTTGTGGATGGAAAAGAATGTATAGACGCACATGACAATACAGCACCTTTTTCAAAGGCACTGATACTAGTCACTGTCATACATGCACACTGACAACTAGGGCTACACAGTATGACAAGTCCTATGAAAGAGCAATCATCTTAACATTTAACTTGTAAAATAAAGAGATATTAATTACAGTTGAGAAGTTTTGAATTAAGAAAGTCAGAGCTCATCATAAACCCCATGAAGTTGCAAAAATCTGTATTACTATGTGCAAACAAATTATGCAGCACTATTATATGACCTGTGACTGCAAATAAGGAAACCAATTATCTGCTAGAATTTGTATCCACTAGATTTTGCAGATTAAACATTAATGGCTCTAATGGTATTTCAGTACTGGACGTTAAATATAGAATTTGACCTAAAGATTTAAATGTGCGGGAAAGTACTCTGAGACCTGTGTCCACAAATTTGACTGCAGTTCAGCAAAAGCCAGTCAGACCTTAGTAATTATAACAGCGACAGAGTTTAACCATACTTAGCAGACTTTAAAAAAATAAGGAAATTATCCTCTATCATTTCACACCACTTACTGAACTGCATAAACCCTCTTCTTGAATTGTTCCAGAACCAAACTAAGGGCTTTGGGCTCATTTACAAAAAGAAATTTTAGAGTTCAACTTTAAAATGTTATTTTATAGCAACCAATTTGGTTAAGTTAAAAAGAAAAACCTTAGTGAACTCAGGCTACCTGTCAACCTGACTAAATTTCAGCTACCAAGTTATCCCAAAATATCATTATAAACTAGTAATTTGCACATTACCACTGGACCACTGCAAAGAAGTTCCAATAATTTATAGAATTGTAATTTTTAGGGAAATCTGTTCTAGTCCTCTTGTCACTGTCCGAAAACAAACAAAAAAAATTTCACCTTCATAGATGCCAAGATTCATTTACACTACCAACTACAAAAGACAAACAATCAGTGACAAATTTGCACTAAATTATTAGTATTGGCTTATTACACAATCAGAAGCAGTTACCTTTGAGAAGTCCAGAATTATCAATAGGACCAGGGTACACATTCTGATCTCCCATCTGGTATTTGTCCCAGTCGTCAAAACCAACATATTTTTTCCACTGTTTGAACCAGCGACTATCCACTAGATACCTTAAATGGAAGAAGAAAGGCAAGTTAATTATTGGCATGGTACTTCTTCCTACAGTACTAATTGATTCATGTTAATTCATCAGCCTTAAAAAATGCAGAATGTTTTTCTGTGTGGTCTGCTAACCATTATCAGCATCTCCTACCAACAAAGACTTTAATTGTGGGCAATTAAATGTCCCACTAATCACAGTGGGCAAATACAGTTTTGCAAGACTGCCAATACAGTGTATCAGAAGTCGAAGAATGTCAAATTCAAAAAATACTTCCTTTTTATAGCATGAAATACCACCTTTAATTCCTGTTCTCAATTTGCAAATGGGGAGATTCAAGTTAAATCTTTATAATTAGACAGCCCTTTAAAAAAGGAGAGAGACCTTTTAGTAAAATAGGAACTTTATTTATAACATTCATATGTAATTTGAAAAAAATTTAAAACCCTGATGTCCTGTCAAGAGAGAGAGCCTAAGCGTTTTCTTCCTTTGAATCAGCAACAACATATACAGTAAATGTTCTGCTTTTGAGGCAGTACTAGATGTTCCTCCTACATAAAATTATCAATTTCACACTTCCATATAAAGGGATATCTCTAAACTCAGCTCCACAGTATTTCTACCCAGATAAAACTGTTGCCAGTCTGGCTTTTACAGAGTCGAGTGATACCTACATTTTAGGTCTTTTTGTTCAGAATTTCTTTAATATTAAGATACCGAATTTGTTTGGTGATCCTCAGATCTGATTTTATGATGTTTTTTCTTTACAGACATCACCTTCATTCCTCCTCTTTCCTAAAAGTATCTGTCTCTTTCTGTCTGGCCTGTCCCAGACGTTTTGCTGCTACCCTAGTACACGTCAGAATATCATTACCAGGATGAAATGCTAGGTCAAACTAAAGATCATAGCTAACCCTCATTCTTTTCTCCAGTATCTGGCTACTGAACTCTTATTTGTAACATACCAATAATATGCTATTGAACCTTTAAGAGGTCTCAGAACTTCCTGGTGGCTCAAATACTACTCTGTTAATACATACAGCTTTATTAGGCATTCATTCTGTACAAATTACTCATGAACACTGTGTAAAAACACAGAACAAAAACATTTACACCCACAACACTTGTAACCAAAGAAGTACAAAAACATTGCTTGAGTATATCTTTTAGTCAATGTGTTAAAAAAAAAAAAAAACCAAAAAGAAAACCCACCAAAAAAAAAAAAAAAACCCCACAAACATTAGCAAGGCCTTAAATTTGTGGTTCTAAATGATGTAACTTCAATAAGAATTAACAAACCTAAGATACATAAGTCTTGACCGATTTTTTCTCAAGTCCAGTTTTTCTCTCTAACACACATTGATCAAGCCTGGAGTCAGCCTCCAGAAGTACTGCTAGCAAACCTTTGGTAAAGAAGGAATTACTACTGGGTACTACTCAGCAAGTGGAATCCTTTGCAGTTGACTTATCAGATTGTCTTCTCAGTAAGTCCCAATTTCTCAGTTTCTACAGAACATGCTCTTAAGTCTGTGAATATATAGGTAAAAGTCCTTTGGAAAGTAAGAGGAAGAAGGCATTGGACAGCTACACACAAGACCACCACAGGCTTTTGGATGCTTACTTCCGCTACACTTCTTCAAAAACAAAGACAAATGTCTCAAGAGTAACTTTACAACGTCTATGACAAGAGCAGCTTAAGTCACATGGAAAGCAGTCTTGATTCAAAATACAATTACATCAACAGTAATAATGTGTCTGTGAACAAATTCCTCCTACCCTTAGCTTGTAACCACCCTAAGCAAACAGAAATGGCAAAGGCAGAGCTTTGTCTCAACTGCTATAGATATAGTTCTGCCAGTGTAAGAACTTTGGTTAGGGACCAAATTTCTCCTTTACTGCACCAATGCCAGCCACACTCTGGAGCACACACCATCATCTCACAGTCCAACACTTTGTCTTTTATCTGTTCTATTATCACAACCTGTACCTGCTGCTCAAGAGTCATCAAGTACTATGAGTTGTTCTCTCTTCTGAAATTATTCTGCACACAACTTTGTCCTTGAACTTGCAAAACAAAATTTCTTCCTGAAATTTTAAACATGTAATAAAGCAGTCAGAAACAGCCCTAAACTGTTTTTTTGAGCCAAAACTATGCAGATTAAGAGCTTTGCTTTAAACACCTTTAAGGAAATGTATTGAAAAGTATTTTTCTGCAAAAATGCCCTTTTCCACACTTTATAAAGTCGGAAACAGTGACTTAATAGGGTGTTCTGGACACAATGCATCCCACCAAGTCAGCAATAAAACAGTATGGTTGAAGTCCAACTCCAGAAAGATGAGATATTTAACATCAATATGATTTACAATATTGAAACGTTCTAAAGTAGCCTGGTCCAGCACTCATTGTTTCACTCCTGTGGCAGAATTTGCTTGACATGTTTTGTTTCCTTTAGAGCACGTTTAGAATGTAATAACAAACAAGACTGAACAAGGCTAAACTGCATTAAAGATGGTGAAAATTGGGTCAAAACACAGTAAAAAGGTGAAAACGCAGACTATTATAAACAGATCTAAACTTTATTAATGCTAAGAAAAGGTAAAACTTATCTAGTTCGAATCTGAGCAAGTTCTAGTCTCCCACACATCTTGCACTTCTAATATCAATTCAGCTAGAATACATTGATTTCTTGACCACTTTCCACTGTCTATACTTTGTTCTTCAGTGAAGTTACAAGAACTACTTTAAGCAATGAGGTTCTAAAAATAATTCAGATCTTTATATGCAGAAAACCTAATTTTGCAACACAAGAAAGCATCCAAGCAAAGCCTTACTGTCTTATGTAAAAGCTTTTTCTGAACTTTTTAGGCTCTCTTAACACAGCAGCAGACTTAATGATCCAAACTTTACCAAAACCTGTGGAACCTCAAACTGTTGTGAAATTAAATGAGAAACAACTTAAACTATCAAAAATTATCAGCTTGTAAAAAAAGGCATGTAACGTGATTATCTATACATAATTAAAAATTTGGCATTATAATTTCTTTAGAATTTATTATAATTATTAAATT